TGTCTCAAAAAAGGACCAAAAAGATGCTGGGCGTGGTGGCACATGCCTTTAATCCCAGCACTTGGGGGCAGAGGCAGGTAGATGTTTGTGAGTTCGAGGACCAAAAGAAAAAAAGAAAAAAAAAAAAAGACCAAAAACCCCACTGTATAAATGTACAAAATTTTCAAAGAATAAATATTTAAAACAAACAAACAAAATAATGCACTCTCTTAGACAGGATTTCCTTTCAAGGCTAGAGAGATGGCTCAGCAGTAAAAAAGCACATACTGCTCTTGCAAAGGACTTGAATTCAATTCCCAGGACCCATGGTTTCTCACAACCACCTGTGGCTCCACCTCCAGGGGAATTCAGTGCCTTCATCTGGCCTCTATGGGTTCCTGCACCCACATGTACACAATAAACACAGATACACATGCATATAATTAAAAATAATAAAATAAGGGCTGGAGAGAGAACTCAGCAGTTAAGAGCACTTGCTCTCTTGCAGAGGACCAGATTTGTTTCCCAGCACCCACATGGTAGCTAACAACCATCTATAACTCCAGTTCCAGGCAATCTGATGCCCTCTTCTGACCTCTGTGGGCATTTCACACAGGAGTGCATTTACAGAAACTCAAACAAAACAGGCATGAAAATCCATTAAGGAGAGGCCTCCTGCTCTGCTCTGGAGCACCACCGGAAGGGTGCCCTCAGGGCAAGACCCCACCTAGTTCAGCTTCCAGCTTGTGACAAGAAAAGGCCTAAGGAGTTTTCTGCTCTTGGAAAACAACATACACAAGCTGCTCTGAATGTGATTCAAGGGGGTGCGGGTCCATCCCAAGCTGCAGCCCCCATTTAGCAGTGTCATTCACATGGTATTGGCTTTACAGGCATGAAAGATTCAGACTTAAGAGGGTCATGGCTTCTTCCTCTGTGGTTTCAGAGAGCCACTGAGGCCAGGCAATATGTGTCAGTGTTGGAGTTGCTGCAAGGCCTTGAGAGGCTATTGTGTGAAGCTGTAAAAGGAAAGCCTGGGTTGCAATGGAGACCTGAAGATGTAAGTGGTCATGCAATGCTTGCGGAGGCCGGAAAAGGGCATCAGATCCCCTGGAGCTGGAGTTAAGGAAGATTGTTAGCCACCATGTGGATGCTGGGATTCGAACTGGGGTCTTCTGCAAAAGCAACCAGTGCTCTTAACCACTGAGCCATCCTTCCACCTCCCTTAAATTGATTTTAGTCATGGTATTTTATCACAGCAACAGAAAAGTAACTAATACAGTATTCCATATTGATATTAATTGCTCATTTTAAAAGTTTTTTTTTTTTAATTTAAAAGCACAAAACAGGGCTGGGAATGTAGCTCAGTGATAGAGAGCTTGTCTAGAATACATGAGGCCCTGATTCTGATCCCCAACACCACATATACCAGGCAGTGATGGTGCATACCTATAATCTCAATAATTGAAGGTGGAGGTGGAAGGATCAGAGGCTCAAGGTCATCCTCTACTAGGAAGCAAGTTCGAGGCCAGTCTGGGCTAGAGACTCTGTTTCCAAAAACAAAACACACAAATAAACAACAAATACTTTAAAAAGCACAAAATTGTTTCCAGGCCTAGGATAAATTACATTTGAGGAATGCTAAGCAGGCTTAATTGTAGAAACCCTTCCTTTCTTCCCTCCTTCCTTCCTTCCTTCCTTCCTTCTTTCCTTCCTTCCTTCCCTCCCTCCCTCCGGTTCAAATTTCTCTCCTTATGGTCCCTCCCTCCCTCCCTCCCTCCTTCCTTCCTTCCTTCCTTCCTTCCTTCCTTCCTTCCTTCCTTCCTTCCTTCCTTCAGCATGTTTTGTATGTTTGCCCTGAGACACTGTGTTGGGTATTGGGAGTAAAACAATAAATTAGATTAAGCAATCAACCTTCTTGTGTCAGGAATAAGTGCTGAACAATTCATGGGCATTATCTCCTGTAGGACTACTACTCTCTTAAATCTCCAGGGGCTCTTTATTAAGACCTCATTAGCAAATTCAGACAGTTCAGAGATTCCAGAGACCAGAGAGATGGCTCAGCCTTCAAGAGCACTTGCTGTTCTTACAGAGGACTGGAATGCGGTTCCTAGCACCCATGTTCAGCAGCTTAGGCACACACAGGCACACACACACACACACACACACACACACACACACACAGAGGTAGGGGGCAGAAATAAATTTGAAAAATCTTTTAAAAAAGAGAGATTTCAGTAATAATTAAGTTTCCCTTATGGGTCTGTTGTAGTGGAGCACGTCTTTAATCCCAGCACTGGGAGGCAGAGGCAGGCGGATCTCTGTGAGTTCAAGGCCAGCCTGGTCTACATAGTGAGTTCCAGGCCAGCTGGGGCTACAGGGAGACCCTTTCTCAAAAAGACCAAAAAAAAAAAAAAAAGTTTCCTTTATGGAGCTGGAAAGATGGCTCAGCAGTTAAGAGCAGTGGCAGCTCTTGCAGAGGACATAGGTTTGGTTCCTAGCATCCACATAGAAGCTAACAACCATCATAACTCCAGTTATAGGGAATCCAATGCTCTTTCTTGGCCTCCACAGGCACTGCATGCATAGGTGCACTTATATACATGCAGGCAAAATCCTCATAGATGGATGGATGGATGGATGGATAAATAGAAATAAATATATTAAAGTTGCCCTTATATTAGGCTGGCCATAGTGGTGCATACCTTTAATTCTAGTACTTGAGAGAGAGAGGCAGACAGATCTCTGTGAATTGGAGACCATCCTGGTCTACATCACGAGTTCCAGATCAGCCAGGGCTACATAGTGAGATCCTATCTCAAAAAAAAAAAAAGCCGAGAGAGGTGCGTTTAGTGGCAGCACCGGGGAGGCAGAGGCAGGTAAATCTCTGTGAGTTCAAGGACATTCTGGTCTACATAGCTAGTTTCAGGGGCTACAGGGACATCCTGTCTCAAAAAAAAAAAAAAAGTTTCCCTCACACATTTACACATTTACCAATGAAGCAGTCTTTTATAAAATTATTTCTCAAGCATCCTCTGTTTGAACATTTCTGTTTGTACCCATCTATTTATATTCAAGCTTATTTCAGACTATTTGCCAAATTAAATTGAAAATTTCTTTGAAAAATACAGAACTTTCATAGAATTTGGAAAACAGTGGAGATCTCAAATCATAAGCAAAGCCATGAACATAGAGATGCTATGGAAGTGGGTTTGTTCATTGGAAGAGAAAACCAATGGTGGTAGCAAAACCCACCTACTGGATGTGGTAATGATTTGAAAGAAAAAGAATTCAGAAGTAAAATATCTTGGCAAGCAGTAGAGTGCTTGCCTGGCATGTATGAGGCTCTAGGCTCAATCTAAGGTACCATACAAAGATCTTTCAAAACTGACCTTTGGGGACAAGATGGTAAGAAAAAAGGACATACAAAGATGTCAAAGTTACTGTAATTACTGAAAGAAACCCACAGAGGTAAAAAGAGTGTCACAATGCTGTGCTTTTAGAAGCATTCGCACATATCTCTGAATGTGCATAGCATGGGAAAAGAGGAGTTCGGCATAGAAATATCTTCTGAGTGTGAAGCTGACTGTTGGTGCTCCACTGCAATTTCCTGTTGCCATTAGTGATGGCACGTCTCTTCTTTTGGAAGAGGAAGAGTGAAAAGC